GCAATTCTCAGCTACCGACAAATTATGAAGTCATCCGATCTCCAAGGTATATGTACAGCAGCCAAACCAACATCCCGTACCATACAGGGGCATGCGCCATGCTCTGACTCAATAAGTGACAATGAAAATTGATGGCTGGCAAGATCGCACGCTAGAGAGGCGATGACCCAGCGGATCTCATGCGAATCGCAGCGACACTGGCTTCAGATCTGTGACGCCGGGTCAGTCAGGCGAGACCAACGACAGAAGATGAAAGTGTCCAATGCAGGCCGTGCAAGGCCCCGGCCCCGGCGTCGGCGGTGCGCGGGTGCCGACGGGCCGAGAAAGTGGCATGGAGTGCTCCGCAGTCACCCACTGTGTGGTGCGCTGAGATCAGCCAGGCTGGGAGGGGCGGGCGCGGCCGGCCGGTCGGCCCAGAGCTCCGCTCGCAGGAAGGTGTTGCTAATGGTGGTTTGTTCCCGCGCACACAATCGTTCCGGAGCGGATATTGTGCGCTGTAACACCCCAGGAAAATGGTGCTGTTACGAAGTGTCGGCTAAAAAGGCTGCACGACGCTGCTGGGTGTGTGACCGGGGAGAACAACAAAAAATGAGCTGTTGACACCTAGTGGTGTCTTGGACTGAGCGATAGCGAGCGACAGCCCATGGGCATTTTTAATTCACACTGCAGCGACGTGTTCAACGGATACGGAGTAGCGACAACTTCAAACCCTCGGCGAACAAAAGTGTGACAAACGACCAAAGTTTACCTTCAAATTATAGTTGAATGAAACAACACGGTGTGATAAAAACGTCCAACGATAACTAATAGTTTGCAGCAGCTCGCCCAGGTAGTTTTTATGTCATTCGACTCGGGTCCCATCATACAAGTTACCTAATTATCATCGCCTAACCGTCTAACGGGAAGGAACGGGTGCAGCTTGTACGAAAATATAGGGTCCAGGAACACGTTTTACGTTACAAACTCGGGGAATACCAATGCAAATTGTCCCGTGCACATTGCACCTCTCCCCTTACCTGGGCACCGATACCTGCGGGGTCTACCTACCGCTAGCATTGTAGTCAAGACCCTGATGTCGGCACAGAGCAACATATCGATGCTTGAAAGACAAATGCACCTGACAATTTGTGGCCATAACAAAAACACGCGCAGGATCGGGGGCGTCTGTCGGTGACAGACTGAGTGTCAGTACGATACGTTCCGCTGGTACAGATATTGTCTGCAGCTTCCGCGCCACTCTGAGATAATAAACCCGCTGATATTGATGTGGTGATATCACTGAAACTGTCAGCGCTGAATCAGATTTGAATGTCATACCCGCATCGTGTGGCGGAAACACTGGTCGCAATCGAAAGTTGTTGCGACATCTCATATCATGCGAGATATCTCACATCTGTGTATAGTCGACTACAGAAAGATGTTCCACTCCTCAGAAGCTATCAGTTGACCGGAGCGCTAAGTTGTGCCGTTTATCACGCAATTAAGCGTGTCGATTGTGAGCATTGGGACAAAGCTATAATTTGTGAACTCAGACCGTGTGATGCGGCACAGCCTACCACTCCAGGCAAATAATTGCCAGTGAAAAGTGGAACATCATTCTGTAGTAGACTATACATTTCACGAGGCAATTGCCCACCCCTCCCCGACCGATCAACCCCCAGCATGCTGACTTCACTATCCGGACCTTGTAACGACGCCAGACAGGAAACAAAGGCTCTACTATACACACTTATCGAGTGACCAACACAAATACCGTGCTCACGACACTGGATTAGTCACACTGTGACCTTTCCCGGCAATCAAACGATTTTCAATGGTATCCGCTACGTTATCCTCAACAGTCGAGGCCCGCCATCAACCCGAGGAGCTCAGCCCATTGTCACGATGCCGGCGACTACAACGTCATGATTGGAGAGGTGGAGACGGTTTCCTGTAATTAGTAGTTGGTATCAGCATTAGTACCTCAGCTGTGACACATACGGAACAGCGGGGTATATCGTTACTCTTACCGAATACCTATTCATGGACTGCAGTATCAGGCCGATGCTAAAAAAATGTGGCTGCAAGATATAACGTGAATATACTTTCACGCAAACAATCTTCACGGCTTGAATACACATTAACCCTCGCCCGTATTGGTGTTTTTCCAGCCGCGAACGTATAAGGGGGGGGGGGTCCGTTGGACCCCCCCCCTTGCCGTTTCGCCCCTGATCGAGCTAGAGCTTTGCGGAAAGAACGAGCGTGTTGCCCGTGACGAGAGGAAGCCGATGATACCCAATTTTAAGGTCCTAGGTCATTGGTTGACCTTGCAGGTCAGGTCAATGACCCCACAGGCGGGAAAATCGGGACCTGTTAGAACGTCGTAAAGTGTGGCTGCTAAGGGGTTTTTCGGGGTGCTGATCACGAATATCATGTTAGTTTTGATCACAGATGATGTCTTCATGTACTTAGGCCAGGTCGGCTCAGGTCAGGTCAGGTCAACCAGTAAGGGTATTCGTAGTAGGTGGCAACCGCCTCTGAAAGCTTCGTAACATGTTACGAAGGCACCAAAACTACTTCGTATATGTTCATATGGTTGCTAAATTCGAATTCAGCTCCAAAAACTGGCCTAGAAACATGTAAAACTCGAAAAAGTGAACCGAGGTCATCAAAGGTCAATGACCTGACCTGACCTTCAGGTGACCTTGACACCCACCCTAATGCATGGGGGCAACATCATATCACATGTTTGAACGCTTGAAACCACGAAAAGACTGCAAACGCGCGGCTAATGCGAGCCGACATACGCCGAATCGCGATTCCAGCCAAACATGGTCTCGAAAAGTAGGTCACAGGTCAAAGGTCATTTGGGTCAGGGTCATGAAATTTTCAGGGTAGGTGTGAAATTGATGAACGCGAGGGTACTGAAAGTTTCGTCGCGATCGGCCGCTTTTTACGCGAGTTATTCGCGAAAAACCATGGGGGGGGGGGTCCGTTCGACCCCCCCCCCCCCCCCCTATACGGGCGAGGGTTAACAGTCGTGCAAAGTGTTCCTTCAGACCTTCATTTCACCATTTCAGTAAAACTGATCGGCAATTATGGACGGTGCTCTGATCTGAACAATGAACATTACGGCACGCCCGTCTAAAACTACCACCGCTGCTCGTCGCCGTCACCCGCACAGCCACGTGGCACAGGGTCTGGGACCATTCCACCACCGTGCCGCGACCCAAATCGGGGTCACAAAGTTACAAACCCCACCGGCACTGGCCCATCCCGTCAGGCCGACCACCCAGCATCCTCCGCGGGGCGGGCTGCAGTGCAGAGTGCATGTGGCAGGGGAAAGCCCCCACTGACCATCGCTGTACGGCCGCTCGAGTCAGTACAGACAGTCTCGACACGTCCCGACACCCTAACCCTATTACACACCCCGCAATGCACACCAGGAAGGACCTGCCGGCGCGCGGTACCGTTTTCCGTCTGATTCCAGACCCCCACCGTCGCCGGCGATAGACAAAATAAACCGGCACCGGCAGACCGACTAGATCACTCAGCCCATCCCAGACTCACCCCAGCGCCACTTCCTCGTCCGTGTGAATAAATGACACCATCCTATTTATAAATATTACGAAAGGACGGGGGGACGGGGTAAAGTGGCAGATCGTGAATAGCGAATCTTAAATAGACAGAACGAAGTGCAGCTCGCCGCCACTGCTAGGTGTCTCTCTCCGTGGATACGTGCCACCTGCCGACTGTGTGGAGCTTTGGGAGCACATCCGGCAGGCGGCGGACGGCAGGAGATACAGGCCACCTGCGTCGGAAGCCACCGCCGTCGGCTAAGGACCACCCCCTGGATACCGCCCAGCTGGATTTGCGGAAGCAAGTGGTGCTGAGTGTGCTGGAGTGGACGGAATACGGATGGCAGATACGATGTGCGAGAGACACAGTCCATCCGGCCGATACGCAGGACGATGAAAGGGAGAGGAACGAGCCTGGTAGTGACTGGGTACTGCCCTAATTTGCGGAGAATACTAAGCCGACATAATTGCACACGATGCCGCGTTACACAGAACGTTAAAAAAGTAGAAGCATGTATGTAGAAGTGACAAGAAATGTTGACTAGCTCAAAGGCCATGCCATGCCATATCATGCCAAATTACTGCCAATATTACAACTGAATGATATGTTTGATCAGCCGGCTGGCACCTGCAGCCTATCCACAGATCCACAGAGTATCAAGTAAGCAGAGGAGGCCCTTCGCCCCGACATTGCTTGGGAGTCACAGCCTTAGCAGTGACAGGTGACTACTTAAGCCTATGCCGACGGTCGTGAGCTCAGGTAATGAGTCTCAGCGAACCGCGACAAACTACCAGCGAGTCGGCGTGACTTAGTGGCAGGTTGTGGCAGAGGATCGCGTAAATTGGGACTGGTTCAATCAGTTCACTTCAATCACGGTGAAACAAGTGTGGTAGGTTTGGATGCAGCACTCTGCACGACTCTGCTGGTTACGTTGCGGTTTGCCAGATTAGAGAAGGTTGGCTGGTTTGGTTAACCAGCGTGTGGAGCATGATGCAATTCATCGTGATTACGCAACTTGTCGTTAATTTCTTCCAAGCGATCTAGTTTCAAAACTATTGTTTGTTTATTGGGGCTTTAGGGCGCGCCGACAGCAAAGGTCCTTTTGCGCCCATGTTTCAAAACTATCATGATACTCTGCTAAATGAGCATGGGACTGATCTTTTTTAACTTCAATGATGCTAAAACAGCTGTAGCCTGTAGACAGTTTTATCGATACTGTAGCTAGAATTGAACAATGAGCATGTTATACAAGGGTGCAATGTGCATTATTACCGAAGCGGAACGGATTACCCAACGCATCTTTTCAATAAGGAAACAATCCGGATCCTGTCAAACAGACACCGGATATGCTACGATGTCAAGTGTCAACATCGTTCATTTCCACTGCTGTTGCACGCTTTTGGTCAGCACAAGATTTTGTTGTGTCGTCGAAACAAATCCTGTTCAAATGAATATTTTCTTATCGTTCCCACATGTCAACAAAGTCAATATGAACAGGATGCACATCAAACAGTGCGTAAAACAAGTCGCGTACAACACAGCGGCACATCGGTCCCTGTAATCGCAGTGGACAGCAGCGCTCCCTTCAGTCCGGAGCGCCGACTGTGCTGCCGCCCCGGTACAGGCCGTCAGCTGTTTCCCGAGTCAGGGTCCGGGACAGCAGCGCCCCCGTCAGCACCGTCCGAAGCGTACACTGTGCTGGCGCCCGCTGGTGTCGGCCGTCAGCTGTTTTCAGAGTACGGATCCGGGATACGCCGGAAGACGGCCAGGAACTTGTCGCCGCTGTTTCTGGTCACCTTCTGACCCTCCTCGGAGCTGTCGTACAGCTGGGGCACCACCGGGTCGCCGCTCTGGAACGAACGGCACCGATAGAGTCCGGCCGACCGGCTGCACTGGCGCAATGAGGTGGAATGCACCCTGAACGGTGGGGTGTATGGAAAACTGGGCCGACAACTTGGATGGAGGCAGCGCCAACTACAGCAATAGCTGCTCCGTTTGGATATTCAATCAAAGGACATCTTCTTGGAGAGATGGACAGTAGAATCGTACAGGACAACAGAGTTGAATGGCGGACCCAAGGAACGTATGGAGACTGTGGAACCGATTAAAAATAATCACCAAACGACTCAGATGCATCTTAGTCGTTGAATATTTCCGAATATCCAGATTCTCTCTCGAGTAACAAATAGCAAAGCTAGGGAATCACCGCTGACCGCCCCTAATAATTTTCCTTCCACCAAAACAATAGACCTAACTCCTAGGAGGATAAAGATGAAAGATATTGACATTTTAACCCTCATTCGCGAAAGCCCTACGCTAGCTCATTGTCACAAACTTTCGGCGCCACAATCCAGGAAGGTAAACGGAGACACGAAGGACCCGACCCGACTCCGAGACCATCGCCATTTAGAGTTCGGATCGATACAGGCTACCACTGGAGACCAAAGCCGACTACCAGTCAGAATCAGGGGAGCTAGGGCTGACTCCGTCAACCTTTACGACTTAGCTTTTAGTAACCTTACCACTAAAATGCAGTGACCACAGAAACGCTTGCCCATAATCCTATGCTACAGCACTGCTACGCTATTTTAAAGTCTACAGATACATCTACTTACATCACACTACAGCGAAGCACTAAAGCTACGGAGATATGTACGCTACGACAACAGCCAACGCCACGACTGCAGCCAACCAATGGAACACTCACCAGTTCCTCGTCAGAAATCCTCTGGAAGAGGGGGTGCTCCTCCAGGTGCTTGGCCATCCACTCGTGCAGGTCCTTAACGTCCGTCACGGTGTACACGATACCCTGGGTCAGAGGGGCGCAGGTCAGAAACGATACCCTGGGTCAGAGGTCATCACAGTACCCTGGGTCAGAGAGGCACAGCTAGGTCATACACCGTACTCTGGGTCAGTCATAAACAATGCCCAGGGTCAGAGGTGCACGGGTCCTTTATCATCCCCGTGTCGGAGATGCAAAACTTATAAACGAAACCATGAACCAGAAGCGAGCCCGATCCAGATGAGCCAGCTATCCGCTCATCGAGCCGTACTTAACAATAAAGTTAGTGCTCACCCCTTCCTGCAGAGCGTAGGCGTATTCACTGAGTAGAGTCGGGCTGATGATGCGCCACTTGTGCTTGGCCTTCTTGAAGTGTGGGTCGGGGAACAGGAAGAACATCTTGGTCAGCTGTGGAGAGGAACATTCATCAACATTCATTCATTAGAGTGGAGCATTCAGCGGGTGGAAATCGGATCACGTAGTGTAATTGGCCACTAGCTATCGGATGGGACAGCGACCAACAGCTAAAAATGGCAAAAGTAACAGCATTTATTCAACTAAGCCTGTTCGCGATCCATTTCCCGACCAGTCGCTGGGCTGGGCCATAGCTTCTGAAAATAAAAATATGGAAACATGATTACTACGGATTCTGACCTCATCACCCCAAACATTTGAATGACACATTCATGGCTCAGATGGAATATAAAAAAGATCCTTCACAAGCAAGAGTACAGTGTACACGTTTAAACCCTCGACAATAGCTGATAAATTGCCACGGTTCAGTGATAAGTAATGTAGTAGTCATTCAATAAAACTACGTCGGTTCCTATTTAAATAACCCACCATCAAACATTTTCTTACTTTTAGCTTTGCTCCTAATATACTCCATCGGCTACATGTACCCACCTGTCCCTTTCTGAAGAAGTTGGGGAGGTACTTCATGGCGTTGGAGCGGAGGCAGGCCACGTTCTGGTACTGGCCCGGGTGCTGGGCCCGCAGAGCCGTGATCCGGTCTGAGACGTAGTCGGACACTTTGACGCGGATCTCCATCCCCAGCATCAGCACCTCGGGAAACATGGTCGACAGCCGAACTGCGCAACACGCCCGCTTTGTGAGACGAACCGATAATGTATTAACTTCAGTGAGAAAATGGCGACATGAATTCAACGAGACAGCGAGTTAATTAGCAACGAAAACAAGTTCATCCCTTCATTGAGTTGACCCAGTCATAGACCACTATATATCTGGACTGTGCACGGATTTTGCCGACTGCTATTAGGGCCCTGCTGGGAAATTCGACGTAGCACGCGGAATTGTGTATTGACGCTCTAGTAAGCCCATTTAAATGAAAGTAACTTCTTAAATGTGATGTATATTTTAATAAATGTATAATTTACAGCATGATTTTTAACACGATAAATAAATAAAAGCACTTATAGACAGGTATATCACACTGTATTAAGTTCAAAGCATCAATAGACAGGAACAATCCGTGATCGGTCGTTTTTGACAAGAGACAGTCTGACGACATATTGGACACACTGCAGATTAATTTGCCTGTCTAAATCAGACACGCACCCGGCTCAATGCTTTGAAAGCCCACACGATCTGCGCCACGGAATTACGAAGATTCCTATGGGTAAATAACAAAGCTGCCGGTGCTGCGTTTTTAGCGAGACCGTCCGAGGTGACCTGCTGGGCCACAACTGTTCCCTGCTTCCACTGAGGCCGATTTCATGCTCAGCATAGGGACAGACGGGTTCTGTCATCTGTCCCTCTCGAGAGAAGGGGACTTTTGAACACCGTTGTCAGTGACGGTGGCCGCATTTTGCAGCGGGTGATGGCGATCGAGATTCGAGATTTAGACGGAGTCACGAGATCTCGGTTCACTGGACACTGCAGCAGAACTTCGCACTTAGGAATGCACTTTCTTATAGTTCTTGTGCTACATTTGCCTTTAGTTACTATTCGAATTGTAAATCCACATCTGAAATTCTCAGCCATGTAGGTATCTTACACATCGACGAATAGGATCGTAGTTATTGATTGCATAGACAAACTGATCCCAGGAATGTTGCATTGTGTTTACGTCCTGCGGCTCAACCTTTCTCATTTTCATGAAGCTTTCTTATTTCATGAAGCTCTGTTCGCGCATCGCTGGTGTTGAGTGACGGTATACTGTCCATATTGACTCCATGAATTGCAATGTTTGTTTTTCGCTCAACTATACACATCAATGTGTTGAAGGAATGCAGGTCGTAGCGTTGTAACTTGAGGTGCTTCTCGACAGTGTGACTCCCTCAGCGAGCAATGTGAAGAAAGTTATCGTTTTCCTTTACAATGGTAGTCGCGCTGTCTTGAAACACACGTTTGAAGCTATACGTGTGCCGAAGAGAGAGCGACTCGGCAGCTGTTACCAGAGCAGGACCCATTGCTTGCATGCAGGAGCGGAACACAGATTGCTGATGTGGGCACGCCAGCTCTCCGCAAGCCATAACATATGTGACCATCACTTGACCAAATTGCAAGACTTTAGCTAGTTTTGGGCTTCACTTGTGACTGATATTATAGGAGCCGCCAGTCTGGAAACGGATCCGCCACCTCTCCTTACAGTTGTCTTCTGCTCAATTTTTCGGTCTCGGCCAGCGTCACAGCATGTAATAAAACTCACAGGGAGCCCAGTGGTCAGAATTCCAAGACATTTTCAGCTTTAGGGCATATAGAAATTGACTTCATATTGATGCCTTAGCCAGGAACCGGAAAACTGACATTGTTGCATGCACTGTCTTGGCTCTTTGAATATGCTCACTCCCTGTTCTGTTCATAGGATATTCTGAAGTGATTATCACTAGCGGCACATTTTACTGTATTTCAGTGGCATGTATGCATTAAAAGGTTTCATTTTATTTAAAGACAAAAGAGAACTATCCCGCATGTCAATGATAAACAACAAACAACAATAATCTTGCAAAAATCTTCGCTACATGTCTGTGAAAATTTGCTAATTCTCGTGAAAATTAGCTGGGAACCATCATCCACACCATGTTAAATCATGGAAGAAATGGGCAGAAAATGCCCTTCTTTTTTCGATGATTGCGCTAATATTATATATTTTTTGCTCAATGTAAGATATAACTCAGATTACAAATTGACTAGTGGTGATGTTTCCCAAAGCACATCATCATATGGCGAATAAGTTGGCTGTGACGACCTTCGAAAGTTAGGGCCCTAATGGCAGGGCCCTAATTTCCGTGCACAGTCCAGATATATAGTGGTCTATGACCCAGTGGATGAATATGCCCCGTTAGTGCCTAGTGGCAGCCACTTTTTCAAACGAGTGCATTGAGCGGATTCTCAAGGGTTGCAGCCATCCTACGCGGAGCTGCGTAAATTCTACCACTGACCAATACCACCCGATCGAGAAATAATTAGCACACCGCACCGCAGACCTTACAAGTCGATCAGTGATTGTTAACAGACATCTGCACACAACTTCATGTAACACTCACTCACTGACTTCATCTGGCATGTGACACAACTCTTGTATATTGATAGAGACAAGTAGAAAAGCACGGAACAAATAGTGCGTGGGCGCGTTTCGATTGTGAAATCTTCATCATCATAACATCATCACGATCTTATTTTCTTATCTTGTTGGATATCTTGTTTGGATATCTTGTTTTCTTTTTGATTATGTCATGCTGATGAAGATTTAACATTCGAAACTCGTCCATGCACTATTTGTTCCGTGTTTTTCTACGACAACTCTTACCGAAAGCTATAAGCGCCAGGAACAAATGACGTTGGCCGATTTTCCATACCGATATGGGTTTTACTACCGGCCATCTCAAGGGACGGACAATGCCACTGAACTACTGGGGTGGGCAGTCAGAGGTTCGAGAGACCAATTCGCTCAGTCAAACACTCACCTAGCAGTCCGCCATATCCACACCCAATGTCGGCGAACCGCACCAGATGTTGTTGCTTTTCCGCCTGGTCACTGGCAGTGCAGTCCTTGCCAAAATAGTGTGGAAAGTATGGCGACCAGTCCATGGCATCTGGAGACACTGGACTGAAACAGCAGCAAGCACAGGTTGTGTTAAGAAGATGGATGTAAATTGTAAAGCCAGTTCAGCATTTTGAACACTGCAAGACAACAACTTCATCTGAAGTTACATTACCAGCAAATATTTTCTTATGGCATTGGCACATGAGGCTCTACTACATAGACGACAAATATTACTGATTATGTCCAACTTGAAACTCTCGACTATATCATTATTATCCCCATAATATTGCTACTTACTAGTCAAAGCAGTGGTCAGCTATTGGGTTCGAGTGAGCCCTTTGTCTGTAGAAACGTTTCTGTGGGAGGGCAGCCATTTCTGAAACAGAGAAAAATATGTCCAGCTATTGCTAGATTATCTCACAAAACATTGAACAACTCAGGAAAAAAATTAAGATGCAGGCTATAAGGCTTCTTCAAGGCTTCAAGGCCTCAAGCCTATCCAGTTTCCCATCTGCTACCAAATGGGGTGACCTGAATGGTGCTCAAAAGTCAAGGTAGGCATCTTGGTACCAGCCAGTAAAATTGATTTGGGCCATATCTGGTTGTACTCTGGCTAGCTCTGGCACTTACTCCTGCCAAAACATGGGCAAGGTCTGGAGCTCTACTGGAGCTGACACATGATCCCAGAGCTCGCCCTCACTACAATCAGACTTCAGCCACTATATGACAGAGCAGCTATGACTAGCCACTGGCCAGCCAGACCTGGCCATAGCACGGCGTGGCAGGGTGAAGGTTTGTGGAGGTAAATACTAAATAGAGGGTGCATATTTTGAGACCTCAATACAAATTGTGGCATTTTGAAACATTATTTAAAATTACTGTAGGTTGTAACTTGTTAGATTCTGTAGGCTACCTATGTCCTATAGTCTGACAACATGTATTCTTGGGGTAATTCAAGGACGCACACTGCTGTGGTTGCAAAATATGCCCCACAGCGCCTCTCCCGAACATCACGTCTTATGGCAGGGAGCCAGTTGCTGGACTTGAGCCAGACTTGGCGGTTCAAAACCATAACAACCCAAACTCCGGAGCCAGGAGCGGGAGCGCTACGTACGGCAAAGGCTTATTAACCAGAATCATGGGCTAGGATTTATTTCATGCCGGCACTGGCAGCAGAATTAAGCCATATCAACCCAAACCTCCCTGTTCCAACGGCGTTCCGTTTACACCGGCCCAAATCTGGCATGTCAGAGTTACCACTTCAACTTACCAGGGCAGAACGGGCCGTACTATTTTCTGGAAAACTCGCCAGCTGACACAGTATGGTGGCACTACCAGAGCTTGTTATATATCAATGCCAGATACAAATAACTAAATATCCTTTAATTTTCTACGAGTGCCATTTTACGTGTTCATGTTCCTGTCAATCTCCTACCTTATTTATATCAATAAATAACATAGCTATCGTGCGTCGCCAGCTGATTTTATCCAGTACCTAGTTAGTAAGACTAAGGCCCATGCAAAACTGAAACGGGCTTCAACTTTAGCCAAAGCAAGTTGAAATCATTGAAATTGCTTGGCTGGGAAGATGCTCCCATCACCCATGGTGTGCTCAAAACAGTAAAATTGACCAAAAATGCAGGAATGCTTATCTACAGGAATATTGTACGTACTCTTGGAAGTGCTCACCGACCTGAGGACCTGAGGCGGACACAGCCCCTATGTCCTTTTTATTTAATTATAATCTTATAATTTGAACAAAACACATGTTATACTTCGCTGTAAATGCTACAGCTGCGTCATAAATGTGCATATATTCGGTAGGAAAGGGCCACTAAAAAATACTACCCAAACTCCAATAGACGTACGGGCTTCAGCCATATTTTCCCATGATGCATTGCTAGTCTTTTAGCCCATGGACTCCGATCTTCGTCCTGCCTTATGATCTCGAATCCCCGTTTTATGTTGGGCGGCCACCACCATCATCACTTGAGCGGCTCCCATCGGGCCATGCTCACGCATTGCACGGTGAGCAGTGGAGGTGACCGTTCTCGGGGCCGAGTGGCCTGTCCTTGCAACAGCATTCAGCAATGACATGGATAACTGAAAGTGACAGAGTACCTATATGTAACAAGAACAATGAGTAATCCATGACAATTAAGAGTTCACCCCCAGGCTAGCCATCTGCTTATGGGCGGCAGGCGCCAGCACCCGTCAGTATAACAGCTGAAAATATTTTCACGCCAACGTCCAAGCCCACCCATGCCACGATTTTCGTGTCCTTGGCAGGGCTGCGGAGTCGGAGTCGGAGTCGGTCGGAGTCGACAGTTGTGACCGGAGTCGGAGTCGGAGTCGATTTTAGAAACCCGAGCCGGAGTCGGAGTCGGAGTCACCGAAAATATGTCGACTCCGCAGCCCTGCTAGCATGGGTGTAGGAGCGCCAAAAATATTGGTGAAGGATGTCACCTGTACCTTCGGAGAAGTCACCTAAACCTTCGGAGCGGAGAAGGTGTAGGACCTTACCGCAGTGGAGGGGGGGGGGGGGAATTTTGCCAACTCCTGTTTTTTTTTTCTCGCAAATGTCTCACGCCATTATCATCTAATTAACGCCAACTTTTCAGTACATGCCTAAAATTGAATTTTTAGGTATCCAAGCATACCTTTGGATACCTACCAAAGGTATCCACTATCAAAGCATACCTTTGGAACCTAAAGGTATGCTCCACTGCTCTTTTCTCGTGACCAAAGTCTTACAACTTTCCCACGAGTAAAAACAAGCAAATATATTTTGATATTCACGGCATTTACTGAGACACATTTACACGTTTACCAACCTCAATACAGTTTTCGACTTTACCTATCATTACGGAGCGAGCGAAGCGAGCGTAGTCTTTCCTTAGATTAACGGAAATTTCTGAGTATGAGCGGCCGGCCGACCGGCCGGCCGGCCGGCCGTGGTCACGATTCTGCGACGCTCATATCTCAGCAACCACTTGACCGATTTACACGCGGTAATTTTTGTAGGGTAGCTTCATTCCTTCTACCAAGTATTGGACTATTCCCGATGCATGTGGGTGACCCCATGGTGTGTCGTTTCGGGAACTAGCGAATGAAGTTTAGTACCGCCGTTCACCGGTGGATGGCGCTAGCTGGTAGTTTCGGCGAAAACTCCGTCTGAGATGTTTGAAGGCTTCCCTTAATCCCTTGTTCAAACATGGACCCCGTCAGCCCCGGCAGAGGTATTTGTCCAGTGTACACCGCACCTGAGGAGGGTCAGCTGAGGGAGGGGAGTCACTATTGTGGCCTGAGGAATGCCGCGCCGGTCGGGGGACGGGGTCGGGAGGAGGGGGAGGGAGGCAGCGCCGTTCTTGCGGTGACGGGCTGGCTTGTCGCCTCAGCCTGGCATACGCTCAGTCGGCGAGGCGATGCGCATGACCCGGGAGCAGCTGAGAGTCCATGACTCCATGTAGACAATTGGCTCGTTTGTAAGCACGAACACTTGGAATGTTGCTGGTGCAGAATTTAAGCATAGGGACGATGTTTTTTTTTGTACCAAATTTTGTGTAGGTAGGTACATGTAAGGAATTTATAGAAATTTATTGTGACAGTTTCCAAAAATCGGTCCAAGTTTTTAAAGATATCGAGGTTTTAGTGACGTCATGATTTGAGTTTTCGACAAAAACGACACATGTTTAAAAAAAAATCATGGGTATAAAATCACAGAATAGACATACAGACATGCCGTAAACGTCATTGGACTGCCAATGCCTACCATGAACAATCAAATTGCCATCTTCGATTTTTGATTACCTATCGTTCTACGGTTTCCAAAATCTTGAATGGAATCTTGGCAATTTCTTGTAGACTACTTCACGACCATGATGAATGCATTTCATAACCAGCACTCCGCTGGGGGTCCTGGAATTACACGCCCTGCTGGTGGGGTGGGGGGGGGGTGTTTGAACACCCCCCTTTTAGCTCGGCTCCTGGGTCATGTAGCGATACGGGGAAAGCGACGTTCGAAAAAGCGTAAGGAATAATGGCGAAATTTATACTTAGGTCACTTTTTCGGTCAGGTCAAAGGTCAGGTCACCAGAGGTGTTTTGGACCCATGCTACTGAAAGCCCAATTTCATGTGTTTGATCTGACCTTGACCCGACCTGTGACCTTGAAATTCAACTTTCAGGTGCTCATCGTAAGTGTCTCGTCGCGTTCTTTCGTTTGCCTTCTCGTCCGTTTTGCTGCGTCTATCGGTTCTTGAGTCGGGTAGCAGCTCTATTGGTTCCCGAGTTGTGCGCCGCTTTTTGAAGAAAAAATGTTGAAATAATCGGCCCAGCCGTTCTCGAGATCTGGAAGCGCCCCCTGCACGTGCGCACGTGCACTGCACGTCGTGCAGTAGCACCTTAACCGCAACACATGGGAATGCATAGCCTGGTGGCTGCCTACCTGTATGCCAAGTTTCAGCGAAATCGACCCAGTAATTACCGAGTTATTGAAATGGGAACAAATTTGGCACCTCTTCTTTTTGTATTTTGCACGTGCAGTGGGGGTCACTTACATAGATTAAGAGCATCCGACTTCCGACCTTTGGTAGAAGGGATGCAGCTACCCTACAAAAATTACCGCAAGACAATCGCTCAAGCGGCTGCTGAGATACGAGCCTCTCAAAATCACTACTTTTGCAAAACAGCTTGAACACCCTTGACTTTTCACGTGGCACGTGCCACGACGGTCACTGAGATGTATCAAAAGTAGTACATTACGGGATAGAAGGGATGGGGCTACCCAGCAAAAAAGACCGCAGGCCAATCGGTCTAGCGGTTGCTGAGATATAAGCCTCTCAAAAGCGTTACAGGCCGGGCCGGGCCGGGCCGGGCCGCTCATACTGAGATTTTTTCCCGTTATATTGAAAAGACTCGCTTCGCTCGCTCACTCGTAACTACTAAGTAAATGTTCAAACGGATGCCAGGGACATGTAAAACTCGAAAAAGTGAATCAAGGTCCTCAAAGATCAATGACCCTGACCTGACCTTTACGTGACCTTGGCACCCACCGTAATGCATGCCGCATGGGACGAACATCATTTGACATGTTTGGACGTTTACAACACAAAAAAGACTGGAAACGCGCGGACATTGTGATCTGACATACGCTGACATCGCGATTTCGGTCAAACATGGTCTCGAGAAAAAGGCCAGCCCTGGCCTTTTTCTTTGACCTTTGATCCATGGGTCAAAGGTCATTTGGGTCAAGTTCATGAAAGAAAAAGAGCATGTGTAAAATTGATCAACTCTGGGGTACTGAAAGTTTCGTCGCGATCGTCCGCTTTTTGAGCGAGATTATTCGCGAAAAACCGAGGGGGCGGGACGCGGGTCCATCCAACTACCCCTACAATGCGAGGGTTAAAACACTAAAATAAAGTCATGATATGAACATATTTGCTGTTAAAGATAATTTTGTAGATTTAGTTCATATAACAGTGTTTGCCACGGGCCGCAAAATCCCAGTCCAGCCCGACCCAGGCCCATGGGTTGACAGCCCACCCCAGCGCGAACCCATGCATAGTAAAATTGTTGAAGCCCAGCCCGGTCTAGCCCGTCCAGCCCGGATCAGCCCGTCAAAAATGAATGGATCATGGACACCAAACAGGTATTACATATGTCACCCATAGGCGCAAAGAAACAATCTTTTGGGAGCAGCATGCACGCACAATGCACATTGCACATATATGCTTTCATTCGTTTTTTTAGTCTTTCACAGAAATAAGCTAGTTTTTGTTTTTAGCTCAGTCGCGAACCTCTGAGTCCACTTTACAGTCCTTGTCCCAGCCCATCCACACTCACCACAGCCCATCGATTATTTATATTTGAGGGCCCAGCCCAGCCCGTGACCCAGCCCAGCCCATGACCGATTGGCTGGCCCGGCCCATGGCGAACACTGACATATATGTAAGTCCACTCGCCAGAAAGCCCGTCGTGAAACGGCTATTTTTCGGCAGACAGCTTCCGCTTCGGGTATAACTTTGAGCCATTCAGTTAGCGATGTCGATTCTACTCCGGAGTCCGAGTTAGTAAGATTTTGGTGACTCTGGGTTCAACTCCGATTCTACTGTCCTGGCTCAGACCCATTCTAATCTTGCTCCACCCCATCATTCAGATCGCAAATTCTAAGATCGATGGAGATCCTATATCGATAAAAACACGCATCGATCTAATGCGAAAAGGCTCCAGATCGGTCACACGCATGGAAGAGATTATACCATGGAGCAGTATGTTTTTGGCGGCGTTTCAAGCTAACAGGCCGGTTACCTTAATGTTCGTGCAAGTATCTCTAGGGGACGAGAATTGTTGACGACACGTGCGAAACGTCAGAAATTAGCCCATTAATGCCGCTTGGGTCATATATGACCCAAAAGCAAAATCTTAATGTTTTTTCTCAATGGAGGCAAGTAGCACTTTGAGGAACTTGTGCGTGTGTTTTGTTGGATTTGTGGGTTCAGTGACGAGCGTCGGAGCCGCATAAAACTTGTGTGAGCTTGTCCACTGAAGTTTCTGGAGCCAAAGACGACGGGACTGCACAGCCGCCGGTCACTGGCGATGGCGCGCCGCCCCAAAAAGTAATATTATATCATGCTT